TTACATCGTCAATGGAATGGATTTGCAACCCAAAAGCGGATATGTTATGGCGCTTTGGTTGACTTCAGATTCAATCTCATATCGGGAAGTATTAAAATAAATCTCGCGTATTTAATAAAAGAGACAATATATGTTAGATGGGTCGACGCAAGACTGCAGTAAACAGTCAAAAAATCCAATATGAAATTATTTGAAGTGAAAAGAGCGCATTCTTTCAAAAAAGTGCTTTAAGGAGACGTTGGTTTTCACATAATGACTGGAAGAAAAGCATCTCTGCACGAAGTTAGGCCTATAGAGACAAATTTTCCAAAATTTTGGTAGGATAGCGAAGGCGCTAATAGGGCAGTTGACAGGTTCTGTCGTCATTTTGACTAATTCCCTCAATATTTCAGATGGTTAATCGATAAAAACAATAACAGACGGGACAGTTGAAGTAAAAAAGTTACACACAAGGAATGTCATGCTGTCCGCCAATCCTAACGATAGACACTCTCTTTAGCCAATAGAAAACGCGAATATTGCCCCGGGATGAAAATAACTTCGGCTTACCTTAGGGCAGCTGCAAAAATTGTTGACAAGAAGATGCCCCGAAGCACTGGGATATTTTGAAACAAATGCATAACAAGATGGGGGAAGATCTGATCGTAGGCCGTGATACGTCCATCAAGCAGGGGATCACATCCGACAAAAATGGCATAGGATATCAATCCGCCGAGAATTTGGACGGATAGGAAAAGTGTGTTGAAGCCCAGGTTTGCGTGAATAGCACTGTCAGAAGAGGTATAACAACAGGCACGGTACAACTAAAGCAAAGTGCGTACGACAAGAAGTAAGTTATTGGCAACATAAGATTAAAAGCCTAAAAAGCAAGCCATACATCAGACCCGAAGAGCAGTGGCTAGGGTTCCAGGTCTTCAGAGCAAAGCCCTTACAAACACTATTCAAATGAGTTAAACTGGCTAATGTTTTTAAGGAGAAAATAAATAGGAAAATAATTCAAAATTTCGAAATCAGAACGAATAAAGCATCAGGTATTGGTTTGACGTTAACCTGTATCTCTGACAGAAAAGAGACCGGAAGCCACAAGACTTGGCAGCAGTATCATATAGACGAGGGGTCTGGAAGTGGGGAGGGCGATGAATAATTACATAAGTCGTACGTCTGATTGCCTGTTGGCAGCTTTTCAAGAGTACGCGGCTATCTCGCAGTAGCTGATGGACTTCGCCCAAATATTCATACCGAATATGGGTCTTCGTCTGTAGACCCTTGCATATACTGGCATAATACAAATTCAAAAAATCATTTCTAACAAAGTGTAAAGCATCTTTCCCTGGTGCAAATTTGAAGATTGCATAAACAGCAGAATTTAATGGAACCACGTTATTCATGTTATGCAGTGAGAGGCTGCAGTTGAAGAGCACTCACGAATTTCGTGGTTCCATTTAATTCTACTCTCTATGCTATCCTCAAATTCTAAGCAAATTAAAAAGTTTAAATTTCGAAACGTAATATCTACCTGAAATCGCACAGAGACTGCTGGGGGACCAACTAATGGGCCGCCACCGGCCCCCCCTCCCCACAGCAGTGAATAGTAACATATGGCAAGGGTTATGGAAGTGAAAAGTATGGTAAGTAATTACATAAACCATACTACTGGTTTTCTGGTGGCAGTTTTTGAAAAGTACGCGGTTATCCCACAGTGGGTGATGGACTTCGGCCTAAACAGTTATATCGAATTTCGATCTGCACCTGTAAACCCTTGAATATAATGGTATGGTCCAAGTTAGAAGTTACTTTCTGCTTAAATCAGAAAAGGCTACAAGTTGAAAGCTGGAGTATCTACTAGAAAGCGCAGATGTGCCACGCAGCGTCATGATACCCGTGAAATACAGGTCTGGCCTTTTAGCCAGTACCTGTGCTGCCAGTATGGTAAACAATTACATAAGTTGTGAAAAGTTCGGCGAACTCAGTGAGACTAGAACCCACAAGGGCAGATCTTAAGTTAACACAACCCTCTAACCACCTGAGTAACCAGGTTCAGAGCAGGAGTCAGCGCAACGTATGGAATCTGGCACAGCCAACTCACTACTCAAGCAGATTTTTCTGGGCAGGTATCCACTAGATGATTACCAAGTCGATAACTTGAGTAGAATACACGACCTTCTGACGATGACCAACAAAGCTGAAAAGATATTACTACTGAACAACTTCGGAGATTTTCGGGAGCACATTGATGATGCACAAGTACCGGAAACCTCCTTAGGGATGTCAAATGTGTTTTTTGTAGAGCAGACAATAGAGAGGATACTATCGTCAGCTTCATGCGCTGTTAAAACAAAGTGGACATACACATGAAGGACTCGAGTTTAAATCAACAACTTCGGAGACAGAATGTGAGTTGGTTGGCGTCAGCTGAAACACCTTGTAGTGGAGAATTTAGAAGATAAGCCTGCACTCTTTGACTGTAACACCAGTGAGAATATCGGCAAGGACTAGCAACTAGTCAAGAATATCTGCCAAATAAACTTTATTCTCGGTAGACTCGGTGCCAAAGTCTGCAGAACTGCGTTTGGACCAGAGTATGTGCCGGCTTTTGTGTGCTAACGGTTGACAATAAAGATGTTCTAATCACGCGCAGGTAAAGACCATCTGAGGGATGTAAACAGGGGTTTTAGTAAAACGGAGCATATGCAAACATCATCGACTATATTTGATAGCAATCTACAAGACGCAACTCAAACAATGTAGAACCAAGAGCAAAAAGAAGGTATCTCTCTTTTTGAAGAATTTTATAAACACAGAGTTCTGCTTCAAGGAGACGCGTCGAGAGCTCTTTTAACAAGGCGCTTAAGGCAAGCTGTATTAAAAAGTCTTCCGACGGCTGATGCTCCTGTACTTTTTTTGACCATAGGGAGGGAAGCAGAACAAACTGATAACCCAAACCATGGGCATTTACTGTATTATCTGTGTGGCAGGATATCTTGGCCGCATAAGCCGGCGTCTGCCCGAAAAATAGCACAATACATTCTAGTATTGTTAGGAAAGTGACAAATGAAGTTAACAGCATTATCCACGGGCACAGAGTAGCCCTAGACCACCGCGCGCATGCCAGAGGGATCTTCCGGATGATGTACAGGGTCCCTCGAAATATACAGAACCACTTGGACGGCGTTTATTGGCTACGGCAGGGCTGGCTGCAATCAGGTTATGCAAAGTGTTCCTGTGCACGCATTAAAATAGCACACAGGTCCAGTAGTTGCTACGGCCCAAAACCACCAAATTGTCAGCCCTGCTGGCCACCAGCCGCCCTGACTCTGAACAGAGGACACTGACTGCAATTGTGTTCCAACCTCTCCCCCACCATACCTACTATCTGATATTGCTTCCACTTGCCCGCATCTTTTGATTATTTCTCGAGTAATACCAACGTACAGACCTGGAGAGAATTTATCAAAAGCAGACTCGTGTTCGCTAAATTGTCTTCTCGGCAATTACGGACTGCTGACCTTTAAAAGATGGAGTATTGAGCATGAAAGGACGTGATCAATGCTGGACCTAGATTCATTTATGGTCAAGTGGACGGAGTTTCGCCTATAGAAGCGCCAAACGAAAAATTTGTAGGAGACTCAGACTGATCCAGAATCCTCTGAGCTGGTGCGCGCGCGACTGGAACTAGGGGCGGCCAGCGAGCCTCAATCACGTGATTGGGTAACCGACATGGTTGGTTGGTTGGTAGCCCATGTTGGATCAGGGGTTCCCACCGGAGGCC